ATGTGTGAACTAGAAGCTTAAAGTTATAGTTTTGATGGATTTATGGGGAAAATTTCATGGGTTAAATGGTATGTTGGGATGTTTAACTAGGGTTTATATTTTCAGCCTTGATTATGGTTATCTACCTCTTAATTGATGTTATTGAGCTAGTAATTGGTGGGTTTGATGATAGAGCACTTGTTAGATATGAATTTATAGAGTAAAGGTGCAAATTTCAGAATTGGGAAACCAAGCTACCCTGTTCTGTCCGGTTTTAGTGCTCCATGTTAGAGGCCGCATTAGGCTTGGCACAAAACATAAAAGTTGTAGATAATGGTATTTTATAGTTGCCTACAAAATTTCAGCTCAATCGGAGCAACGTATCCTGTGAAAAGATCAAAATATCCTCACTGCCCTAGGATATTTCCAGTGATCCGTTTTGGACAGTTCTTCCAATTGATTGTGTTTATTCACTATGATTCGTGCTGATTTAGTCATTTTGCAAAACATGAAAGTTTTAGTACTCTGTCTTAGCTTTTCAACGCCACCAAGAACACCTTAAACGGATCAGTGTAGCCCAAGTTATAGCCAAAACACTTGCACCTATTTTGAACCTTGGATTGTGTACGTTTTTGAATTTTGCTTCTGACCATGTTTTATCCGTCTTGATAACGTACGAACTGGGTGTTGACCTCTTCATAAGAAATGTAGATCTTGGTCCTAGCTTCGAAACGGTATAAAGTTCATCCAAATCCGAGTCCCGTAGCATCAGTTATGGCCAAAACAAGATCGGTTGTCAGAACTGCCTTCGAATTGGACAGTTCTGACAGGAATGTTTGGACCCATTTTCCTCCATGCTCTGTAATGATTCAGCTTTTGGTCTGAACATGAAAATTATAGCCTAATGTCTCAGCTTTCTAATGCCTCTGTAATTTCTTGATTTCGATTTCTGAGCTGTGAGTTACGGTCTTTCAAACAGGGCCTGTTTGGTCAACCGAAATTAAATGGCTGGAACTAATTTGTGCATTTTTTACCAATACCTTTCGAGATCTGGGTTAAGGTGTCTTCACGAAAATTGTAGCACTTCCTTGTATCTTCGAAACGGCGTCTCACCCACCTTGATCCGACATTCCTAGCCTAACGTTTGATCAAAACGGTTTGAGATGGCAGATCTGGCCGTTTCCGTTTGCCGTTTCTGCACTTGCATGTGCCGATTTTGCCGTTTTGCTTGTTTTGAGCATGTTAGTGGCCGTTTGTGATATTATTCGATGCAATCTTCTATTTCAAACAGTGGTGAGCTAGGCGGAGCCGGTGGGGCCCACTACTAGCTAACACGCACGAAGTGATTGCTCTTGTTCTACTTTTGTATTTTGAGTAAGTATTCAGGCCGCTCTTGTGTGTTAGTTGCTTATGTGTTTCGATATGTATGAAAAGGGTACCTAGGCAAGGGTGTACTTTATCGCACTCGACCTAAACCCTAACTTGCGCACATATTTGTACATGGCTTGTGTATATGAGCAATTTTGGAACTAAAACCCTTAAGCTTGTGGCTCGGGGTGACTTTTGAATAATTTTGTGAAGTTTGTGAGTTTGGGGCCCGATCTCAATACCTAGATGGACTATTCGAGCCGGTTAGGGCTTGGTCGAAGTCAGTCCAACCTGGATTGAGGTCACCAAGTTTGTGAATCCGGTTCACCGAGTATGTGGATCAAGTTTGTGACCCGAGCTTGTGAACCAAGCTCAATTTTGTTCGCTCGAGCAAGTTTGTGAGGTGTCTGGCCAGAGAGAGTGATAAGGTGTACGGTGGGAGAACAAGTGGAGTTCTACGGACCATTATTTGTGGTCGACGGAGTGTCGGCAGGAGATCATACATGGCACATGAATTGGCTTTGGAGCCACCCGTATCCTTATTATGTGATGTTATTTTTCTGCTTTTGTTTTACTCTTACATGTAAGATTTACGCTTTTGCCCCTGTTTACTTACTAAGCATATAGCTTACCCCTTTTCTTTTGTTTTCCTTAGTAAGGGCCGACGCGGGGACTTTTGGCACATACACTGGGTATAGTTAGGTGTGCTTGTTTAGATAGACGTTTAAGTCGTTTCTTTTATTTTTGATGGCCTGTATAAGAATTTTGTTTTTCTTGGGTCTACTTTATATATTGGGTGACTAACTTATGGTGATGTAGTAAACTGAATACCTATTTTGGAGAATGTAATTAGAACTCTTTTGGGATTGTATATACTATGTATAGTACTCTTTTGGATTTTTCTAGCTTTTATTGTTTTAAGTTTGGAGTCCTGGCGCGAGCTAGGCAGGCGGCCCGCCGATACCTTTGGGTTCGCCCTTGGGAGAAGTGTAGTCGTCACAGGTGGTATCAGAGCTTAGGCTTCAGATCTCTGTAGTGTATCCGAGGCTAAAGTTTAGGATGCTGGACTGTGGGATTCGATTTGATTTGATGTGATTTGAAAGTTAAGCAATTGAGGGATAAAACCTATAGCTGCTTCGCGTGGTCTCTGCGCAGAGTGAGCCTGGATGAAGTGGCGAATAAGTATGAAGGACTAAGTGTTCGTTCGAGCATAAGTTATGGATCATAAATGTTATAGGCCTTAAATCTTTCTCATGGTATCCGAGGACCATAGATAGGTACGTCAGGTAGGAATTTCGATTGTAGATAGTTTACTCTTGGGACTACAGCTCGAGATGTGAATTATCTTATTTCGGATTCTTGTGCTTGAGTACTCCAGAGTTTAGACTAGCATTTTGGGAACATGAACAGGCTTTGTCTGGCTAGAGTGAGTACAAGATATCAACGGGCACCTTGGGAAGTGGAGCAAGAAACCGGACGGGGGTGGTTTCACTGAGTGTGGGACGACAAGTCGCGTTTCTTTCATTTTGCCCTTGCATTGTCGCTACATGTCATTTACTTGTGGTATGTTAATACCTACATATATAGTACTTACTGCACTTGACTTTGTCTAACTTAAAATGTCCCTTGGTGTATATGACGCATTATATTGTGTATATTTTGGCGTGACTTGTATATATATGTACACCTTTTGATCATTTGATTATTTCGGGTATTCCAACCCTTAGCTCGTTGATTGCAATTTCGAGGACGAAATTCTTTGAAGAAGGGGAGATTGTGATACCCCAAATTTTAGGATACTATTTTTGTTTAATCTCAAAGAAAGGATTACGGTTTCTTTATTTTATTTTTGTCTTAAAACATTGTTTTATTTCAAGACTAGAAACTTTACTTGTACTTTAAAACCCTAGTTTACTTGTGACTAGCAGGTTATGTTTAAATCCCTCATATTTGACTCAAAACCCTAATTTTATTCTATGGAATTGTAAAATTCATCACGCCTTTCTTAAAATTCCTTTTATTTGGAAATTATTCATTTAATATGATCCTACTACTCAATCATTCCTCAATAAGTGCAAATGAACCTAGAAAGTAGGGTTTCACTCTTCGTTTTCAAGATTGGAGCAAATTAGGGTTTTCACGATTTTTCGCCGGATGATTTTTCGGTATGGAGCAAGGATCAAATTTGGTGTTTAAGAGTGACTTTTGGGTGAGAAATAATATTTGATTAGATGCAATAATAAAAAAGTTAGTGAATAGGAAGAAAAAAACCCTAGTACGGGTGATTTAAGGAAAATCGGCTCGAACCGACGGGTACCGTTTGTTACCGGGTAAACACACCATTTGACCCATACTTTATTACCTTAATCTTCTCATTTTATTTTAGATAATTGACCTTCAAAATATCTCATACATCAGCCACAATATTTGACCAAGAGAAATGAGAGAAAATGCTAGAAAGAAAACAAGTGTCAAGGCATCTATGGAAGTTGGACTTTGACCAACTTGTCTTAACCTTCATAAAACAGAAATTTGACCAAAATTTCCTCATTTCTTCCCCTTTTCTTAGTCTTGGTCGAAATTCTTGAGAGGAAAAACAAGAGATGAAAAAACTTCACCTTGCACCTCAATTTCAAGCCTCAATCTTGAGTTTCAACCGATAATCTCGCAAATTCCTCCACAAAAGTTGATCTCCAAGGGAGCTTAAGGGTTTTGGTGGAGTGATTTGGGAAGAGGAAGGTCTTGGAAGCTTCTTGATATAGGGATTAAGGTGAATTTGGTAAGAAACTTCCCTCTACTTCTTATATGTGTGAACTAGAAGCTTAAAGTTATAGTTTTGATGGATTTATGGGGAAAATTTCATGGGTTAAATGGTATGTTGGGATGTTTAACTAGGGTTTATATTTTCAGCCTTGATTATGGTTATCTACCTCTTAATTGATGTTATTGAGCTAGTAATTGGTGGGTTTGATGATAGAGCACTTGTTAGATATGAATTTATAGAGTAAAGGTGCAAATTTCAGAATTGGGAAACCAAGCTACCCTGTTCTGTCCGGTTTTAGTGCTCCATGTTAGAGGCCGCATTAGGCTTGGCACAAAACATAAAAGTTGTAGATAATGGTATTTTATAGTTGCCTACAAAATTTCAGCTCAATCGGAGCAACGTATCCTGTGAAAAGATCAAAATATCCTCACTGCCCTAGGATATTTCCAGTGATCCGTTTTGGACAGTTCTTCCAATTGATTGTGTTTATTCACTATGATTCGTGCTGATTTAGTCATTTTGCAAAACATGAAAGTTTTAGTACTCTGTCTTAGCTTTTCAACGCCACCAAGAACACCTTAAACGGATCAGTGTAGCCCAAGTTATAGCCAAAACACTTGCACCTATTTTGAACCTTGGATTGTGTACGTTTTTGAATTTTGCTTCTGACCATGTTTTATCCGTCTTGATAACGTACGAACTGGGTGTTGACCTCTTCATAAGAAATGTAGATCTTGGTCCTAGCTTCGAAACGGTATAAAGTTCATCCAAATCCGAGTCCCGTAGCATCAGTTATGGCCAAAACAAGATCGGTTGTCAGAACTGCCTTCGAATTGGACAGTTCTGACAGGAATGTTTGGACCCATTTTCCTCCATGCTCTGTAATGATTCAGCTTTTGGTCTGAACATGAAAATTATAGCCTAATGTCTCAGCTTTCTAATGCCTCTGTAATTTCTTGATTTCGATTTCTGAGCTGTGAGTTACGGTCTTTCAAACAGGGCCTGTTTGGTCAACCGAAATTAAATGGCTGGAACTAATTTGTGCATTTTTTACCAATACCTTTCGAGATCTGGGTTAAGGTGTCTTCACGAAAATTGTAGCACTTCCTTGTATCTTCGAAACGGCGTCTCACCCACCTTGATCCGACATTCCTAGCCTAACGTTTGATCAAAACGGTTTGAGATGGCAGATCTGGCCGTTTTCGTTTGCCGTTTCTGCACTTGCATGTGCCGATTTTGCCGTTTTACTTGTCTTGAGCATGTTAGTGGCCATTTGAGATATTATTTGATGCAATCTTCTATTTCAGACAGTGGTGAGTTAGGCGGAGCCGGTGGGGCCCACTACTAGCTAACACGCACGAAGTGATTGCTCTTGTGCTACTTTTGTATTTTGAGTAAGTATTCTGGCCGCTCTTGTGTGTTAGTTGCTTATGTGTTTCGATATGTATGAAGAGTGATACGAACGTCGCCAACCTTGTGACGAAACCCGTAAAAGATTAGCTTCAAGATCGACAAGAGGACACCAAGTTTGAAGCGGATGACCTCAACCCGTTAATCACGTGGTTAACGAACCTTGGTATAATGGTAGAAGACGCCACAACCTAGTGCGATTCTAGATTGATAAGTCACGAACACCTAGAGAAATTCTAAGGTATTCAAGAAGCCTTGGAGAAACCAAGAAAACTCTCAAAATCTGATTTATTGATTGAATCCATAAACCATTGGAAGTGTGGGCTATTTATAGCCTTACATAGAGATGAACAACTAAATGTGAAACTAGTCTAGAGTTGTGGTCTTGACTAAGACTAACAATTGTAGGCTTGACTATTTTCATAAGACTAAGAATTGTGGGCTTGACCAAACCTTATGAGGTCATCCCTTAGGTAAACAACCTTATGAGGTCATTGCTTAGGTAAATAACCTTATGAGATCATCGCTTAGGTAAATAAAGCAAGGCTATGGACCATTAAGCCCTTATTACAATGACTTAACTAAAACAGCAAATATGACTAGAGAAGGGTCACACATGGTTCTCTTTGGCGTGCACTACATGGATGACTTTCATTCCTTCATGCTCAAGCCCCTCCATGACCTTGGGAACAATTTCTTGGCCTTGTATCTCATGAACAAGTCCTTGGAGTTCCTCCCTCATCTTCTTAGCTCGTGCTCGAGTTACGGGTCCTAGGGGAACTCGAATAGTTCGCAATGGTGTCTCTTGGTTCGTATCATCCCCCTCCTCTTTAAAAGGATTTGTCCTCAAATCAGCTTCATCGTCTGCAAGAAAAGGAGATAGATCAGAGACATTGAATGTAGCGCTCACTTGTACTCACCGGGTAGGTCCAGTTTGTAAGCATTGTCATTGATGCGCTTGATGACTTGGAACGGCCCATCTCCTCGGGGAAGTAATTTATTGCGCCTTTGGACTGGGAACCTTTCCTTGCGTAGATGTAACCACACCCAGTCACCAGGTTCAAACACAACGCGTTGGCGTCCCTTGTTAACCCGTTGAGCAACTTGGTCCATCCTTCGCTCAATGTTTAGGCGTACCTGCTCGTGTAATTTCTTGACAAAATCTGCTCGTTTAGCACCATCCATGTTAATGTGCTCAGAAGAAGGTAAAGGTGATAAGTCTAGTAGTGTTAAAGGGTTAAAACCATAGACTATTTCAAATGGTGAAAAATGAGTAGAACTATGCACCGTGCGATTGTATGCAAACTCAACATGGGGTAAACACTCTTCCCAGGTTCTAATGTTTTTTCTAATGATGGCACGCAAGAGTGTAGATAGTGTACGATTGACAACCTCAGTTTGGCCATCAGTTTGTGGGTGACTAGTAGTAGAAAATAGCAATTTGGTACCCAATTTTCCCCACAAAGTTTTCCAAAAATAACTCAAAAATTTGACATCCCTATCAGAGACAATTGTCCTAGGCATGCCATGCAATCTAATGATTTCTTTGAAAAATAAATCAGCAATGTGAGATGCATCATCTGTTTTGTGACATGGTATAAAATGTGCCATTTTTGAAAATCTGTCAACAATAACAAAGATGCTATCATTTCCCCTCTTTGACCTGGGCAACCCTAAAACAAAATCCATGGAAATGTCGGTCCAAGGTTCCTTAGGTACAGGTAAAGGACTATAAAGGCATAGGGTTGAAGTTTAGACTTAGCTTTGTGGCAAGTAATGCATTTAGCCGCCATTCGCTCCACATCTCGTTTCATCCTTGGCCAATGGAAGTGCTCTTGAAGGATAGCTAAGGTTTTAGCCACGCCAAAGTGTCCCATCAAGCCACCTCCGTGTGCTTCCCTAACAAGTAAAGAGCGAATAGAGCAGTTAGGTATACATAGTCGATTGAGGTAGAAAAGAAATCCATCAAGGATGTAGAATTTACCTTGAGTTGCTGAACCACAAGAGTCATAAATACCTGAGAAATCTGGGTCATCGGTGTATAACTCTTTAACTAATTCAAATCCTAACAACCTTGCATCAAGTTGAGTGAGCAAAGAGTACCGACGTGATAATGTATCAGCAACAACATTAGTTTTCCCCACTTTGTACTTAATCACATAAGGGAAGGTTTCAATAAATGCAATCCACCTAACATGACGCTTATTCAACTTGTGTTGTGACTTAATGTGCTTAAGCGACTCATGGTCAGTGTGTATGACAAATTCCCTTGGTCTCAAGTAATGTTGCCAAGTTTCTAAAGCACGGATTAAGGAGTACAACTCCTTATCATAAGTGGAATAGTTCAAAGCTGCTCCATTGAGTTTTTCACTAAAGTATGCAATTGGTTTGCCCTCTTGCATTAGGACAGCTCCAATACCCACCCCAGATGCATCACACTCTATTTCAAACATCTTGTCAAAGCATGGTAATGCAAGTAGTGGTGCATGTGTGAGTTGATGTTTAAGTATTTGGAAAGCACGTACTTGAGCATCTCTCCACACAAATGGCTCATTTTTCTTAATTACAGCAGTTAGAGGTGCAGCAATGGTACTAAAATCTTTAACAAATCGTCTATAAAAACTAGCAAGACCATGGAAGCTACGTACCTCACCCACCGTGCTTGGAGTAGGCCATTCTCGAATTGCTTTAACCTTCTCCTCGTCCACTTTGATTCCCTGTTTACTCACAACAAAGCCTAGGAAGACAAGTTGATCAGTACAAAAGGAGCACTTCTTAAGGTTAGCATAGTGCTTTTCCCTTCGAAGTACATCAAGAACAAGCTTCACATGTTCAACATGCTCATCTAAGCTCCTACTATAAATCAGGATATCGTCAAAATATACAACTACAAATTTTCCAAGGAATGGACGAAGTACGTGGTTCATCAACCTCATGAACGTACTAGGTGCATTAGTTAGTCCAAATGGCATAACTAACCACTCGTACAAGCCATGTTTGGTTTTAAAGGTCGTTTTCCATTCATCCCCCTCTTTCATCCTAATTTGATGATAACCGCTTTTTAGATCAATTTTAGTGAAAATCACAGCACCATATAGCTCATCTAACATATCATCAAGTCTAGGAATAGGGTGACGATATTTTACCGTTATTGCATTAACGGCCCTACAGTCAGTGCACATTCGCCAACTTCCATCCTTTTTAGGCACCAAGATGACGGGAACCGCACATGGGCTCAAGCTTTCTCGTGCCCATCCCTTTGTTAGAAGCTCTTCGATTTGGCGTTGGAGTTCCTTTGTCTCATCTGGACCCATTTTGTAGGCTGGTCTGTTAGGAAGTGGGGCACTTGGAACCAAGTCAATTTGATGCTCAATTCCCCTTATTGGTGGTAGTCCATTTGGAATCTCATCGGGAAAGATATCCTCATAATCCTGCAAAAGAGAGACAATACTAGATGGTAGAGTATTAGTAAGATCACTTATAACAACCAACACCTCTTTGCTCAAAAGTACAAAGATGGGTGTATTAACACTCAAAGCTTTTCTTACTACATTGGCTTTTATCAATAGATTTTGCCTTTTCTCTCTCTTTTCAATTTTGGCCGGCTCACTATATGTCTTTTTCCTCTCAATTTTCTCGGCCTTATCATTTCCTGTTGAGCTCTCGATTTTTTCTATTTTTTTCTTCTCATTCTCAAGCTCGCTCTCCTTGATCAGGCTTTCTTGATCTTCACGAACTTGGATAGGAGTGAGTGGCACAAGCACAATCCTCTTCTCGCCTTGCTTGAAAGAGTATTTATTGGTAATGCCATCGAATGTAACTCCCTTGTCGAATTGCCATGGTCTCCCCAATAGTATGTGACATGCTTGCATAGGGACCACGTCGCATAACACCACGTCCTCATACTTTCCAATTCGGAAAGGTACTTGGACTTGCTTGGTCACACGAACATCCCCACTATCGTTCAACCATTGCAAACGATAAGGTGTTGGATGTCGTAGAGTGGGTAGTGCTAGTTTCTCCACCATCAAGGCACTAGCGACGTTAGCACAACTACCTCCATCTATGATCAAACTACATACCTTGCCTTTGATATAGCAACGGGTGTAGAAAATGTTCTCCCTTTGTACATGGTCGGCAGCTTTCACTTGGGTTGCTAAGGCTCGTCTGACAACGAGTCCAACTCGTTCATCGACGGGTAATGCTTCCTCTTCTTCCTCAAGGGATGGCAACTCCTCCTTCTCATCTTCATCATCGGTGAAAAACTCACCATTGGGTAAGATGATCATAGTGCGTTGGTTCGGGCATTGGCTAGCAATATGCCCTCGGCCTTGGCATTTGAAGCATCTAGTATCTCGATTTCGCCCCATGCTCGACTCAATGGCAGTCTTTGGTGTTGCCTTAGACTCCCACTTAGTCATATCCGGCCTTGGTCTTGAAGGGATGGAATTACTCGGCCCTTTATCCTCTTTCTTTGGCGGTGTAGTTCGGAGATAAGAGGGTGAAAAGTTGGAGTAACTCCGAGTCGAACCCCTCCTCTTAATCCTCCTTTCAATCTTGATGGCCTTTTCCACCAAATCCCCAAGTTCCACATAGTGGTGTAACTCTACTTGGTCAGCGATTTCGGGCCTTAGTCCGTTCAAGAAGCGTGCCATTGTTGCTTCTCGATCCTCCATGATGTCTGCCCGTAGCATGAGTATTTCCATTTCTTTGTGATAGTCCTCGACACTTCGTACTCCTTGGTTGAGGGTTTGAAGCTTTTGGTACAAGTCACGGTAGTAGTGACTTGGTACGAAACGCTTCCTCATTAGTCGTCTTAGCTCCGTCCAAGTTTGTATGGTAGGTTCACGACTCCTCCTTCGACTAGTGGAGAGTTGATCCCACCACACAACGGCGTAGTCGGTGAATTCGACCACGGCCAACTTGACCTTTTGCTCCTCCGAGTAAGTATTGCAATCGAAAACAAGTTCAATCCGCTTCTCCCACTCTAAGTAGGCATCAGGGTCTGATCGTCCTTGGAAAGGCGGAATTTTCATCTTTATGCCCGGAATGTGGTCATTTGAAGGCCTAACATCACGCTTGGACCTACTTTGCTTATGCTCATAGTTGTTGTCTGAGTTAGAGTCGCTAGACTCATGTGCATAAGCCTTTCCACGGCTGCCTTTGGAGCTTCCATGAGACAACTCTAAGCTGTCAATGCGTTGGTGCATCAGTTCAAGTTTTTGGTCCATCATGCGTCCCAATTCACCTTTGATTGCTTCTGTGAAAAGTTTAAGATCAAAAGCTTGGGAGCTTGCTCCCCCCTCGTTAGCCATGGTAGGGTAAAAAAAAATAATAATGGAAAGAAGCAAAGTTTATCTCGCACACTTCCTCACGTGTTTACTCTCGCTCTCGTGTTTGAACACTCTAAGAACTCACCAAGGTATTTTCAAGGCTCCTCGGTCAACTCCTCGAAGAAGTTAGAACTCCTTCTAGTGTGGATCGACTTACCAACCAGGGTCACAAGATGTAGCACTTTGAACGAAAAAAGAACAAAAGATGAAGGGACTGACCACGACTCAATGAATGACTCAAAGTTGAATTTTAAGGATCCTAGACAAAAACTCTACCCAAAACTGGAATTTTGAGCTGCTGGTTGCTGCATTTCTGGGCAGTGTTTTAGTAGATAAATGGACACTTAGAGGATTCAGAATGACACTTAAAACTAACCTAATGATGCACGAAAATTTCCAGAATTAATGATTGGACAGAAATTCCCCAATGGTTGCAAAGATGGAATCCGAATGGAAGATGAATTTGTGTTGTGGTAGGACTGTTTTGGAAACCCAAGGCTGACTTTTCTTCTTTAATCCTTTGGAAACAAGGATTAGTCTTCCTGTTTGCTGGTTCCCATAAATTCTAAGGTCAAGTTCAAGATTGGAACTGATTTGGTTGTTTTTGGGAACAAGGGTGGAAAATTTGACTTGAACAGGTTGGAAAATTTGACTTGAATAGGTTGGAAAATTTGACTTGAATAGGCTGAAATATTCTTCTTCTTCCTTTGTTTTTGTTTCTAATCAGCCAAGAAGAACCAAATTTCGTGGCTAAAATGTTCTTAGTCAAGAAAGAAAGATTGTTGTGGTGAAGACAAGGATTTTGGCAGCTGAAAATTTGCAGCCTTGTTGTTTACCAAGATTTGGTTCCCAAAACCCAGAAACTTCAAGATTCTTTCAAGAATTCAAGATGTTAATTCCCAGAATTCAAGAAACACAAAATTGAAGATGATTTCCTCCCTAAACAATCCAAGATTTCATGATTTGATCAAGACAGATTTTGGTTGGCTTCAAGAATCCCAACTAAAGTTCCAAGAACTTCAAGATTGTGGTTTTAAACAATCAGGAACTTCAAAAAAAACCCAAGTTTTGATCAAGACAGATTTCCAGGAATTTTTTGTAAGGTTAGCCAGCTATTTTTTTTTTGTATGTAAACAAGAACACAAGGTAATAACTAGATAGGACTCTAAAACCCTTGCTACAAACTGATTTTTTTCGGATGAACAGTAACCTCGAATGATCAAATAGAACAAAAGACTGGAATTGAATGGATATAACAGGATAGAAACAAGACTCAAACAAAGAATCAAGAATAAGACACAAAAAAAAAGGCTGGACCAAACCAGGCTAACCACAGCAATTAACAACAACTAGACACAAGTTCATGTCGTAACAAATCTGGAAAAATAACGCAAGAACACGAAGTAACAAATCTGGAAATTGCGGATAGCAACTTAGAACACGAAAACAGAATTTTCGACAACTTGACTCGAAAAGCAAATAAAAAAAAGGATATAACGTGATACCTCTTAATTAGCTCTGATTACCAACTGATACGAACGTCGCCAACCTTGTGACGAAACCCGTAAAAGATTAGCTTCAGGATCGACAAGAGGACACCAAGTTTGAAGCGGATGACCTCAACCCGTTAATCACGTGGTTAACGAACCTTGGTATAATGGTAGAAGACGCCACAACCTAGTGCGATTCTAGATTGATAAGTCACGAACACCTAGAGAAATTCTAAGGTATTCAAGAAGCCTTGGAGAAACCAAGAAAACTCTCAAAATCTGATTTATTGATTGAATCCATAAACCATTGGAAGTGTGGGCTATTTATAGCCTTACATAGAGATGAACAACTAAATGTGAAACTAGTCTAGAGTTGTGGTCTTGACTAAGACTAACAATTGTAGGCTTGACTATTTTCATAAGACTAAGAATTGTGGGCTTGACCAAACCTTATGAGGTCATCCCTTAGGTAAACAACCTTATGAGGTCATTGCTTAGGTAAATAACCTTATGAGATCATCGCTCAGGTAAATAAAGCAAGGCTATGGACCATTAAACCCTTATTACAATGACTTAACTAAAACAGCAAATGTGACTAGAGAAGGGTCACACATGGTTCTCTTTGGCGTGCACTACATGGATGACTTTCATTCCTTCATGCTCAAGCCCCTCCATGACCTTGGGAACAATTTCTTGGCCTTGTATCTCATGAACAAGTCCTTGGAGTTCCTCCCTCATCTTCTTAGCTCGTGCTCGAGTTACGGGTCCTAGGGGAACTCGAATAGTTCGCAATGGTGTCTCTTGGTTCGTATCAAAGAGGGTACCTAGGCGAGAGTGTACTTTATCGCACTCGACCTAAACCCTAACTTGCGCACATATTTGTACATGGCTTGTGTATATGAGCAATTTTGGAACTAAAATCCTTGAGCTTGTGGCTCGGGGTGACTTTTGAATAATTTTGTGAAGTTTGTGAGTTTGGGGCCCGATCTCAATACCTAGATGGACTATTCGAGCCGGTTAGGGTTTGGTCGAAGTCAGTCCATCCTGGATTGAGGTCACCAAGTTTGTGAATCCGGTTCACCGAGTATGTGGACCAAGTTTGTGATTCGAGCTTGTGAACCAAGCTCAATTTCGTTCGCTCGAGCAAGTTTGTGAGGTGTCTGGCCAGAGAGGGTGATAAGGTATACGGTGGGAGAACAAGTGGAGTTCTACGGACCATTATTTGTGGTCGACGGAGTATCGGCAGGAGATCATACATGGCACATGAATTGGCTTTGGAGCCACCCGTATCCTTATTATGTGATGTTATTTTTCTGCTTTTGTTTTACTGTTACATGTGAAATTTACGCTTTTACCCCTGTTTACTTACTAAGCATATAGCTTACCCCTTTTCTTTTGTTTTTCTTAGCAAGAGTCGACGCGGGGACTTTTGGCACATACACTGGGTATAGTTAGGTGTGCCTGTTTAGATAGACATTTAAGTCGTTTCTTTTATTTTTGATGGCCTGTATAAGAATTTTGTTTGTTTTTGGTCTACTTTATATATTGGGTGACTAACTTATGGTGATGTAGTAAACTGAATACCTATTTTGGAGAATGTAATTAGAACTCTTTTGGGATTGTATATACTATGTATAGTACTCTTTTGGATTTTTCTAACTTTTATTGTTTTAAGTTTTGAGTCCTGGCGCGAGTTAGGCAGGCGGCCCGCCGATACCTTTGGGTTCGCCCTTGGGAGAAGTGTGGTCGTCACAGGTGGTATCAGAGCTTAGGCTTCAGATCTCTGTAGTGTATCCGAGGCTAAAGTTTAGGATGCTGGACTGTGGGATTCGATTTGATTTGATGTGTTTTGAAAGTTAAGCAATTGAGGGATAAAACCTATAGCTGCTTCGCGTGGTCTCTGCGCAGAGTGAGCCTGGATGAAGTGGCGAATAAGTATGAAGGACTAAGTGTTCGTTCAAGCATAAGTTATGGATCATAAATGTTATAGGCCTTAAATCTTTCTCATGGTATCTGAGGACCATAGATAGGTACGTCAGGTAGGAATTTCGATTGTAGATAGTTTACTCTTGGAACTGCAGCTCGAGATGTGAATTATCTTATTTCGAATTCTTGTGCCTGAGTACTCCAGAGTTTAGACTAGCATTTTGGGAACATGAACAGGCTTTGTCTGGCTAGAGTGAGTACTAGATATCAACGGGCACCTTGGAAAGTGGAGCAAGAAACCGGACGGGGGTGGTTTCACTGAGTGTGGGACGACAAGTCGCGTTTCTTTCATTTTGCCCTTGCATTGTCCCTACATGTCATTTACTTGTGGCATGTTAATACCTACACATATAGTACTTACTGTAGACACCAAATTTTTGTCAATTTTTAATGTTTTCCTGATATTTTTAAATTTAATGAGTTATTTATTTTCTTACACTTTAATATGTATTTTTCTCATTTTTGCAGGTTTATTTTAGAAAAAAAAAAACAACAACAGCACAAAAAAAAAGAGAAAATTAAAAAAAATCATCACAATCATTTTCCCTACCAAATGCACTTAACCCATTTCTACACTCCATCCTCATGAACATTTCTTCCCATTTTGGTAAAAAATCATCATTGGTAGCCCATGCATATTTCCTGTCATTTTGGAAGAAAAACCATCATTTTGGCCCCACTTAACACTCCAACTCAATACATCTCTCGGCTCTCTTTGGCTGCCATGAGACAAGCCACAAAAAGAAAAAAAAGCACTCCAATCCCTCTGGGCTCACTTGGCAGAGGCAGAAAAAAAAAAAGAGGAAACACACGAGAGAAGCGGAAGGGAAGCTCTCGGAATTTTGCAGCCTGACCCCCTTCACTCTCACTCTCTCGGACTTGGGTGGAGGAAAGAAACAGAGAAGAAAAAAAATCTTCCCCAACTCCTCTCGGTTCCATTTCAACCTCACACACACCTACATTGAGGTAATTTTTAGTTTTGTCTAGCACATTAAATCAGTGCTTCATTGTTTAGTTTTCTTTCATTTCTGCTGGCTGCCTTGCATTGTTGTTGTTGTATTGTTAAAAAAAATTGGGAAATGGCATGAACCAGATTTAGGAAAAGGAAATGTTTCTTGTGAATGCATGTTAATTGTTTGGAAAAATGCCAAAAGAAATTTTAGGGACTGTTTTGCCTTAATTTAGCCTTTTTATGTTGTTTTCTTGTCCAACTTAGATTATAGTTGTAATGTAGAAGTTATAAGGAGGGTTTTGGCATAATTTTTATGATTTTTAGTGAAGATTGTGGTGTTTTAAAAAATAAAAAACTGGACTGACTTTTTGCTTTTCGGCCACCTTCGGGTCATCTTTTGTAAAGAATTAACTCCGGAAATGGAATCTACGCGAAAAATCGAATGAGGGGTGTATTTTGAGAAATTTTGACGATCGGAGAAGTCGCCGGCGACTGGCGGCTGGCGGCGGTGGCGCCACCGGCGGCCACCATGGTCGCCAACTGAAGTGAGCTTC